GCGCCCCTCTCCAGCGTCCTGAGCCCCGAGGTCTGGAAGCCTCTGCTCATTCTCAACGCCTTCTTCCTCTTCCAGCAGCTGTCCGGCGTCTTCGTCGTAGTGTTCTACGCCGTGGACTTCGCTCGCGACGCGGGCGTACCCTCCGACGGACACCTCGTGTCTGTGCTGATCGGCGTCACGCGTCTGCTAGTGACTGTGGCCATCAGCTACGCGTCCAAGCGGTTCGGACGGCGGCCACTAGCACTGGCGTCAGGGGCCGGGATGGCCGTCTGCATGGGAGTCCTGGCAGCGCGTCCAGCCCTCAGCTGGCTCCCAGCCACGACCTTGGTTCTGTACATCTTCATGAGTACCGTGGGATTCCTCACCCTACCCTGGGCCATGATCGGCGAGCTGTTCCCTACGCGCGTTCGCGGGATCGCGGGTGGGGTCACCACTTGCTGCGCCTACCTGTTCAGCTTCGCCGTCGTCAAGATGTACCCTGAAATGAAACACGCCCTGGACCGGCAAGGGGTCTTCTGCTTCTACGGCGTCATGGCAGTGCTGGGCACGGTGTTCGTCTGGTTCTTCCTACCGGAGACGCAGGGGAAAACCCTGGAAGAGGTGGAGCTTTTTTTCGCCGCGCCGACAGTGGTTGTCGCGGCGACCAAAGCCTGAACGGGAGGCAGAGCTGATTGTTTTGTATATCGTCTTTATTTATGCTTTGGGCCAAATCAAAAGGCGCTAGAACCTGAAAAGTAATCGGGTTTGCGGACGCGCCTGGTTTATGTCGTTGCTATGGTAACTATCTTGGCTTCTTCTTGTCTCGAGGGTGTCGTCAGTCTAAGCGCAATGTTCTATTAGAATTAGAGACCCCAACGCACGTTGGGGCTGCAGCTGATAAATGTATGACACGGGAACACGTGTTCGTGCAGTGCAAACAGAATAAACGTCCTTACACTTGTCGGCTGTTGGTTTTCTCTATCCTTGCCCTTCACTTATAAAGGAATGAAGACCGCCACGCCGTTTGTATGTCGTCTACGTATCCCGATTTCAATTTTCGAATCACCTGACCGATTAAAAACAGCATCCAGCCACTGGAATCCACCCCAACCGAGGACTTTCACTTTTCGGTTGTAGGTTTCTGGATCCTGACACCGAGAAGTCTTGTATTAACCTGTTGATGTTTCGTAGAAGGGTATCGTTTCCATCTTCAGGGCTAAAGTGTGTCAAGATCGGGATGTGAAGTGAGTATTTATTTATATAGAAGCGCGCAGTCGGTGTGAATCCGGAAAGGAGCTTAGGCGGAGACTGCGTACAGGTCACGGAGGCTCTAGGCCTCACACACACAGATCCTGATTCACTTCAAACCCGAAGATGAAGGCGACATTTCCTCCTTACCCTTGGCAATTACCCACAAGATTACACGGGGTCAGAACCCAGAAGGCCGTGACCTACAACCCGTAAGATATTTACAGCTGTAAGCAATAAACCAATTTGATCTCGATTAGTGAATCATGATGCCGGCATAATAAATAGTCTTACATCAACGCGACGTTCGCACTGGAAGATTAGGCAATGAGGCAGTCTCATCGAGTTCTGTCTTACTTCATTATTCCCGAGTTACTCTAGACGAATGTTGCTATAGCACCATTAAACAGGCCACAAATGAGTCTCTCGGTCTTTCTCCAGTGTTTACTAAACGTAAACACCACGCAAAGTCAGCAGCTGATTACATAACCTCTTAACCGACCTACAAGAAGCGATCTCGGGTTCGTTCGCGGCCACGCGGATGTGCACGTATACACACGTGTTTCGGAGGAACTGACGCCCTGAAGACAAGGCCAGTGCGGCGTGTATCGCTCCACAAGGACGCCGAGTGTTTAGACAGGCCACGACAAATAATATCGGCTGATCGCGGCTTGAAGGTCACACGTCACAATGACAAGCCTATTCTGAGAGCGGCGATAAGATAGCGCCTAGTGCCTCAAAGTTTTCGCTGTCTCACAGAGACGCGCTAATCCACGGCTTACTGGGATTCACAAAGATGGCTTTCCGCAAGGTAGGTTCAAGGGATTCTGTGTTTATCCGCGGACGGAAGCAGGAATTCTTACTTTTAAAACTCGCATACTTAAACACCATCTAACCCGTAAAGTAAATAAAAACAGTGCAGAATATTAGTGCAATTTTACAGTGCATGTGGCCTCATCCAGCAAATGCTAAATGGCAGTGTTCATTCAAGTTTTATTAAATAAATACGTAGGAATGTGAATATTGACGCATAAAAAAAAGGTTGCTTATTTAAGCCGTTCCCGTCCGGAAATGAAATACTTTAAGTAAGAAACATTTTCCAGCAACTGGCTGTGGGAGCAGCGGCAAACCTAGGTAGCATTTCATCAGGTATGAGTCTGGGGTTCTCCGCCGTGGCGCTACCCGCCATGCAAGCAGCCCACCACACACCGCACGTGTCCGAAGAACAAGCCTCATGGATAGGTGAGTTAGTGAGCGTCTGCAAAAGTTGCAGGGATCAGACAAGTATGGAAAATGTAATAGGATTTCAGGGCGGTGAACGTTTCGGAGGACGTCCCCATCTCCACTTACACCGTGAAAAAGGACAAGATATGTCCCTCCGAAACCGTTGGTAACCCTCTACAAGACTGCATGGCGCCACCACAGTCCAGAAGCCCACAAACCGAACGCCACAGGACGGCTGGCGCAGACACGTGAGCGTTGAGCATTTTGCATGCATCTTAAAGCACTCGGTGTTCTTCGGGTTCCATAAAAACAAGGGGCCCTTCTTGAGCGCCTCAAGAATGAAGAAAGCCTCTGCCCTGTGGAGTTAGTAGCGTGTCTGTTGCAGCTTCTCTGGTGTCCCTCGGGATGCCAGCGGGCTGTCTGTTGATGAGTCCACTTCTGGACGGACTCGGTCGCAGGCGCACTCTGATGGTGGTCAACACGCCCGCTGTGCTAGGCTGGCTCCTCATCGCCACGGCCTCCCGCAGCGATCCCTGGTTCTTCTACCAGGTGTACGTGGGTCGATTCCTGACGGGGCTCGCCGTGGGTCTCGTCGGCACCCCGGCAGTTGTCTATGCGGGCGAAGTGCTGCAAACGACCTGGAGGGCCGTGGTGGTCACGTGGCCCTCGCTAGGTATGTGGGAAACATTGACATTGAGAATCGTCTTCGTACTGCGTGCCCTGCATCTCATTGCCATGGCAATTCTCTTGCGTTTCAGGGTTATCCCTCGGGATCGTGATCGTGTACGTAATGGGGTCGCTCTTCCAGGAGAACTGGCGCTTCGTGGCAGGCACATGCTGCTTCTTTCCGGCCGCCTCCATCGCCGCGGTGTATTTCCTGCTGCCCGAGAGCCCCGTGTGGCTCGTGTCGCGGGGCAGGGCTCAGGAAGCTGAAGCCACCATGAGATACGTCAGAAATGTGCCTCGAGAAGACGACCTCCCGGAGGACTTGCAGCAGGAACTGGATGCTATGATGAACAGCAGCACGCGAATGGAGAGGAACAGCAGCTGGAAGGACACGCTCAGCTTCCTCAGGAGACCCGAGGCCTACAAGCCGCTCCTCATCATGAACGCCTTCTTCTTCTTCCAGCAGTTCTCTGGCATATTCGTCGTCATCCTGTACGCCGTGACGATTGTCAGGGAGACGGGAGCGCACGTCGACGGTTACCTAGTAACCGTACTCATCGGCGTCTCGAGGTTGGTCATGTCCGTCGTCATCGGCTACGCGTCCACGCGGTGCGGACGTCGCCTGCTCTGCAACATTTCCGGAGTGGGCATGGCGCTGTCTGTGGGCGTGCTCGCCGGGTTCCTGAGTCTGACTCACGACGGAATCATCGGCCGTGAGGCGGCTGCGTCGTACGGATGGGTTCCCATCACAGCGCTTCTTCTGTCCGTCTTGACGGGAAATTTGGGCTTCCTGACGCTCCCATTTGCGATGCTGGGGGAAGTTTTCCCTGCCAAGATACGGGGATGGGCGAGCGGTGTCACAACGTTCATAGCCACCGTCTTCTCCTTCCTGGCTATCAAGCTGTTCCCTCAGATGAAGCACTGGATGGGCTTTCACAACGTGTTCACTTTCTACACTGCGGTGATTGCCACGGGGACCGTCACCATGTACTTCTACCTGCCTGAGACGCACGGGAAGACTCTGGAGGAGATCGAGCAGTGCTTCAGGGGTGGCGACAGGCCTGCAGGCGGAGACAAGGCGGCCGAGCAGCTCGTGGAGAAAGGGTGACGGAAGCGTCAGTTTCGTCGGGGTTCGCGGATTATTAGTGTGTAGTCCTGTTAAAGTTGGCAGCAAAAT